ATAATACCATCACCCATAATCCCTTGAATGCACGACAAGCTGCCAGGAGGGTTGTGCGAATGTATTAATATTTATAGATCCATTCAGAGCCGAACACGAAAATGGACTATAGATTAGCAAGTCTAATGCTTTGCGGTGGAAGGGGAATTGACACTACATCCAAAACATCAGTCGAGTGCTGCCATCAGAGGTAAGTCAAAGACAGGGAGGCTCTATTTTATTGAACCTCATACATACCATCAACACAATAAATGGGACGTGAAGAACGACGCTGCTTTCGAGAAATCATGTTCACGGCAACGGTTCGGCTATGAAAGGCTCCAACAACTTTTGGATTTATTCACCTCCATCTGAGAAAAAAAGCACCTCTCAGATAAATATAGGATTAAAGCTCTTGGTTTCCACTTGCTTGTTTTGATGTCAGAGCTTGCGTAATTGGAACGAATGTCAAGTCTCATCTGCAAAGTTGAAAGCAGCAAACTTTAGATCCTCAAACTTTGTTCTTTTAACTTCCCTGTGGTGGAATATTCTCAGATATATCAAAGACTCCTTGGGAGACGGAGCAATGGAGGGGCTGCTGGAAAATAGGACAACCAGCTCTGGATATACTCTTGGATGTTATTTAGTTTTGTTTTTTTGGGGGGGGGGGGTTCTGCTGTTCATCTTTAATATGTAATGAAGCAAAATGCCAATGAATTCTCAGAGCAGAGCATAGACAAGATTAACTTGTGTTTCAGAGTCATCGATGATATGGCTAAGCTAAACTGAAGAAGGCACTGATATTCCTTCATCTGTTCCTCTACAGCTCAAGTCAGAAGGTTAAAAAGTCAGATTTAGATTAGAAAATCACACCAGACACCTTATATTGTTTAAAAAAAATGGATGCACAAGAATTTTGGTGAACAATCTCCAAGGTCACAATTTTTCATACAAGCTTGAATACATAAATGTTAATAAAAAGTGTGTTTATAGACGATTGTACTGGAAGAACACACAAGCGTTTCAATCACCTAGATGCTGAGTTAAAGTGAGGTTGAAAAGGTAGACTTGCATTTGTCCTAGACTGTCCCACCAATGAGACGGGTTTGTTTGACCCAGAATGGACCCTCAGCATGATGCTGCCACCGCCATGCTTGACAGGTGACATGGTGTTGTGTGTTTTGAAAGCCTCGCTTTGATTCCTCCAGGCGTAGCTCTCGTCTTTGTCACCAAACATCTCATTCTCTGACCTTTAAACTTTTCTCCAGAAGGGATTGGGTCTGTCCATGTGTAGGCGCAGGTTCTTCTTCTTCGTTGGTACTGAGCGAGCACTTCACTGTTGATGAGGAGGACACTGGTGTTCCAGCAGCGATCGTTTTATCTGTGCTGGTTTCTGGATTGTTTTTAACAGCCTAGGTGATTTTATTTCCTTTAGGTCAGATGACTGAAACTTGGGCATAGTGTTCTTAGAGAACCAAACACACAAAAACTGGTTTTGTAAGGGTAAACCTTCATAGCATCCCTTTGGATTAAAATGTATGGACTTTGCTTAATAAAGGGGCAATGACTGGAAAGTGACTAATCTAAATGCCTCAATAGGTTCCAATCTACAACTTTGTTAAATATCCAACCAGAATTATACCAGAAGTTTGTTGTTGGCCAAACAAGGAATGTTGTTTCTCTGACTTTGACTTAATAAGAGTCATTTATCCAGAGATTGTATATATTAGAGCCTATATGTATGATGGTGGACCCTATTTAGCTTGCCAGAAACATGCACCATAAATTCACATTTGTGCAAAATAAAACCAACAGTTCAGATGCATGAACTGTTCTAAGCATGTTTATCCTAACATGTTTAGAACATGTTAGAAAAATCTAAACATGTTTATCCGTGCAGGGGGGGGTGGGGGGGAAGGGCTGCCACCATCTCCAGAGGTTACCGGGTGAAAGGTGGGCTACACCACGGACAGGCTGCCAGTCCAGTACAATTAAAAGATTAATATTAATTACGCAATTTATACATCAGAGAAAAATGTTCCTTTCTCATCTGAACCGATTTTCAGACTAACGGTGGAATTTTTTGAGGGGGATTAGAGATGAAACATAATTAATTAACATACTTGTGCTCATTAGATCTTACTCAGAAAATGAGGGCTGCACGCTCACATCTCATTGTCACTCTAACTCACTCGTTCGGACGGCTAAGCTGTGGCTGAGAATGCCTCGTCACAGACCGCGTTCAGACCAGCTCCTGCCTTCACTTTTCACCGGATAAGCCAGGCGGGGTCACACGATGATGTGCGCTGTGCTGCTGTTTCACCAGTAATGAGCCACTTTGGCAAATCAGTTTTAAGTGCCTGTTTTTAATGAGGTTCACACACACATGCATGAGCGGAGCGTTGCTACGAAGCCCCTCTCCGTCCTTGATCTGGGTCATGCTCCCGGTAGCTTCAGAAGGGCTCTCATGACTGAGTCTGCACCCACCACGTGCACTAGTTAGCTACTGCATCAGCGAGATGAAAGCAGCAGAAATGAGGCTCCCCTGTTGTGAATTTTGTCTCTTTTTAGTGTTTCTGTAAGCTGCAGGGACTGGCATCACTGAAAGGAACTGAGAACAATGCTGCAATGTGACGAATCCTGCAGAAATGTGCATCGTCTTTTCTCTTTGTAATGCTCGCGGTGAGAGCTGCTGCAGAGGCGGGGAGTTTTTTTTTTGCTTGTTTTTTTTTCTCTATGGGAGACAAAAGTAAAACCATTAAAATTAAAAATGAGCTCAACAACTTTGAAAGCATTGATGTGCTTCTTGCAAGGAGTACGGCACAAACAGGAAGGAGGAAGCATTAGGAATGAGGAAAATACCTGATTACTTCCTCTTAAATACAGAGCTGAGTGGCACAGGGTAAAGCTGAGCTGTCATCGCTCCTCTCCTCTTTCGTCTCGCATATCTCGTTATCGCGGTCAAATGCTAGCACACCGTTTCCCCTCTAAATCGCTTTCCGTGTAACTGTTCTGGCAAAGGAGTGGATGTCAGTCGAACCAGCAGCTGAAGACCATAATCAGGATCATCAAATCATCAGACTCTGAGGTGTCTGGACAGCATACAGTGTTCTTATTTACAAAATTATGTCTAAGCTTATTAATGCAGAACTTCCTTCTCTTAGCTGAAATACTTAATGTTTCCTCCTCCGGTCAGTGTGAAGGGAACATGCTCTGCATTAAGTATTACTGTACTCCCTACATGTGTCCATGATGGAGGACTTGGTTTGAATCACAAAACGGCTTATTTGATTACAGCCTGACAGCAGCAAGAAAGCTCTGACAGATTATTCTGTTTTCTTGATAAATAAACATTTACCTCCTGGTATTTCTTATTGTTTGCATTAATATTCTTTGCGAGGGTGTTTAAATCATCTGGTTTTAACAGGTTGTAACTCACGATGTACGCTGGTGCAACGACAATTTAGTCTGTGATACAAAACTATCAACCTGTATTTAACACTGGTGCTATGAACTAAGAAAAGTTAACTCTGGGATATCGCATGAAAAGCTTGATTGGGGCCCCATGCTAACTTAATCAACAACTCTTATGCATTATTTTTACCATGGCAAAATAAAACATTTTATCATAGTTTATTTGGACATTAATCATGTTTTCGAATTAATTAATTAATTGAATGAATTAATATTGTGTGACACACTGTAAGTTTATTCAAGACAGATGGTCTTTATGAGGCGTCAGAGCTCACCACATGCACCAATCTGAGGATTATAAACTGATTTTGTGTCATTAACTCGCAGCAAAATGTGGGTAGGTCATCTGTTATTAATGTTGCCATTTTTGAGGACTGTTAAATTCGGTTTTACAGTGGACATTATGACGGTGACATCTTCACAATGTCGATTTCAAGATACTAAACATGTCTTGCTCGATCCCTGGTAATAGGCTAAAATATGAATTTGTTTCGAGCACCAGGGATGCGACATCTCGACATCAGATTACTGATGCCGATGAATTTATGATAGTAATAATTAGTCTGTGTTCTCAAGATAAAATGTGAATGTGCAACGAAGAGACAACTTGTTCTGACATCAGCTTAATCTGTTATGCTCCAAACAAGACATTGTGTGTCCTTCCCATGTTTGTTTTTATTTTTCCTCTTTGGTTGTCTGATTTCCTTTCTTGTGGAAAGACGTGACTTTTTTTTTCCTGCCACCTGCTCCTCAACCCGCCTGGGGCAGATCACTCTACACATAACTCAGTTAAACCAGCAGGGGGTGCGGGGGCGGGTGCGTGGACTGGACCATTTACACCTTTTTAAAGGGGAGCTGAGGCTTTGAGGAGAACCCGACAATGCCGCTGATGCAAAACCAGGAGCCATTCAGTTCAGCCAGGATGAATTTCATTGTGACATTATTTGAGAACGTTGCTGTGAGCTCCCATCCCTGGACCGGGACCGGATTGTAGCCGAGGGATAAATTTCGATTTTCAATCAAAACAGTATTTCTGTGAGCTCACAGTTTAAATTCAATCAGAAGGTAATTTGACACTGTTTATTTTAAATATAAATAATAAATATGCTGAACGGAGAAATGATGGGAGTAGTGATTAAAAAAAAACAAAAAAAAAAAAAAAAAAAAAAAACACCAAAACTGACTTTAAGGTGCAGAATCAGGAGGGAAGCGTGGAAAGAACCAAAGAAGTTGTTTTTCAGTGGATGCAGCCATGAGGTTTCTTTATGTCTGCCTCCCAGCCAGACTCACTTTACATCCCTCCTTGAACTGCCGGCCTGTTTGTGACATCCTGAAAGTGCTGCTGTCACCTCAGTCGGGGAACTGAACTGCATTTAAGTGAATTAGATAACATTGCCAGCAGCTACTAAAATAATTCTGTCAGAGGATAAAATGGACAAAGACTCACAGCTGACAGTCAGAGACCAAGGCACAGAAAGGCTCCTTCACAGCAACAGAATATGCTTTTACATCCATGTAGAAATATTAAACGGCATTTCTCAGATTCCTTGTGTGTTATCGGCAGCATTTAATTTCTCACAAGCAAACGTCTCCTTACTTTTTTTTTTAGGGTTTTGAAATATTATTCTTATAATTATTTATAAAACTCAATTTCAAACAACTTTATAGATAAACCACAAGCACAGATGCACATTAAAAAAGTAAAAACAAAAAAAAATATGCATCATTTTTCTTCCATTTTTAAATAATAAAATACTTCTCATTGTCAGCTTCTGGTTGTCGTTTGTTGGGTATGAATATTTTTTACAACCCACTGTTATTTATAACGCCAAGTTTTTCCAAGGCTTTAATCTAATATGTTAGGAATTATTTGGGCTTAAGAAACTCAAATAGCTTTCCCCGACTTGCAGATAATATTACAAGTTCATTACAAGCACAGCGGTTTATATTAAAAAGTAATAAAACTACAAGTCACTATAGCCAAAAAAAAAAAAAAAAAACCAGCAGCCAATTATGGAATCACAGCATACCCGCTCTTATTTTCGGGAATTTTTCACAGCATATTGTAACAATACAAAACAATGACATTAGTTTGTCCCACAGTAGGCTTCAAATCTTGTTCCCGAACTGTGCAGCAGCGCTTATTGTTTGTTTTTTCATGTCAGTGCTGCTCATGTTGCATTCTGAAAGTAGGATTAAAAAAAAAAGACTTCACAAAGATTCATGTTGAGTAAATATAGAATCACATCAATCTGCATGTCATAGTAAATAATTGCTGCTAACGAATGTTACGAACAAAGACTGAGGTCACCTTTCACAAACTCTTACTACTGCAGCATCAGCCACTAAATGAGATCTATAGGTGATTTAAATACAGCATCAACCTGTTTCCCTGCTCTCAGTGTTCTTTCTTTGGACTTTTGTCAAACATCCCCTCTGCTACCGCCACACATGAGAGCAGTCATCAATCTCTCGCTGACTCATTCCATTAAATATTAGCTTCTTCTTTTCTCACTCACCGGTTGGAGGAGGTTAGATGAAGCGCACAGCGACGCTCTGACTCGAATGTTTGGTCTAGAGCAGGTAGCACTCTCTTACGAGGTTATGCGCTGAAACTTCAGCAAAGCACAGCTTAATTTTGACCCAGATGTAAAAAAAAAAAAAAAGAAAGAAAAAGAAAGGGTATTTTACTAATATCAATAGCAGTGGAATTTAGCAGGTAGGGATGAAGCGACCTTGCAGCCACGTCCTTGCAGGAGTGGTCAAATAAACTGATTTATGACCCAGGAGTGGAGAGGAAAGCAGGTGCTTTAGGAATCAATTCATCACACTTTATTTTATGTTACCCCCCCCCACACACACACACACAGCTGATGTAGCACCTAGAAAGAAGCACAATACAATCTCAGCACATTCAAGCAGTGTTGTATAAAGCACACGTACAGATAATCAGTCTCAGAGCAGTCATTTTCATCTGAGTTTTATAGACGGTAGTGCGATTACATGTGGGATTTCGGTGCTAATTTGTAGAGTCTATTTACACAACCCCATGACGGGGCAAAGGGATAAAGTTAGGTAGAGACGACAGATGATCTTTAGGCAGCAGTAGTGCAGGTTCAGTGTAGAACATATGTCCAGTAATGCGTCAGACAAGTACGAGACATTAAATGACACACTGGTTATAACTCATAGTGGGTTTGGAGGCAGTCGTGGCACCAGCGAGGTCAATTAGGCCATCGCTTTGAAGGCTTGCAGGTGCTGGTTGAAAACGTCAGCACCTTCTTTGGCTGTCTGAAGCTGCTGCTCGCACCACTGAGTCAGACATTTCTGCACCATTCCCACCCGGTCCTGACTCAGATGGGCAATCTGCAAAGGGGAAAGGATGATAAATATGTTTCTTGACTGCTTAAATATCTAAATAATGTTTGTTACTAGCAAGGTGTTCACAGTTTTACTTCAGTATGGGTTCTGGTTTGATTATTTACTATTTTACCTCTTGCTTTGCAACTTTACAGATCTGCTCAAACTCTCCCTCTGCTGCTTTCTTCACCTCCTCCATCTGAAACACAACACCGTCAATATCACTCCATGCTCCATTGGAGGGTTTTTCCCCTCGTCTTGTAAGGCTGGATTACACAAGCAGGATGTTGCTGCCATCTGCTGTTCACCTTAAGGATGTGCATCTACCGCCATGATAATCCTGTCACGTATATAAAAAAGGCAAAGGCACTCACAGCGTTCTTCTTCACAGGTTTGGCCTTCTCTGCATTCTTGCGGGCGTTTTCCAGCTCCACCAGTTTGCAGGTTCTTCTGAAGAGCATCTCCTTCAGCCAGAACAATTTATTTCACACACATCAATACGATTCGGTGAGAGTCGACTCTACGACCAGAGAACTCACCTTTTCTGCCTCTTGGTACCGCGAGTCCAGGTCCAGGCCCAGTCCGAGAGTGTTCATGTCATTCACGGCGACGCTCATCATGTTTTTCTGTTCACACAGAAACGCATTGATTAGTCTGGTACTAACGCATTAAGCATGCTTCTACTGTTAAGACGACAAAGTAGCTACCTTTATAGAGTCGAATACTTCTGACAATTTCACACAAACCCTGCGAGCAGAAAGTGTGTTTAATGAACATGGCAGATTGTTTAAGAGGAAAATGCCTCACATCATATCGACGTGTCATAACAATTGTACTTTACTTTTGTTTTGTGTTAGATCAACGCATTTCATAATTTTGTCTTTGCATGTATGCAGTTGTGCTATATGCTTTTAATTTTTCAGATGACAGATTAAAGTTTGTGATACTGTTTTGTAACCTAACTCTGCTTTAAACTTTTCCATAACATCCCTGACCTGCATCTTTTGTTCCTCAGTCTGTCTTATGCTGTTTATTCAACATTTCACATTTTCCTCCCAATTATGGACCTACTGTTGGTTCGTCTCATAAAATCCAAATCAAATTCAAGAAATGTGTTGCTACTAGATAACAAACTATAAACTTGCTCCTGTGCGAAAGTGGGAGCTTTTATAGAGTTCGCAAGCAGCTGAAACTGATCCAGGCACCATCAGTGGACAATGGTTGGTTTATTTTAAAACCACAAAGCCCAGAAGTGGTTTTAGACAGTAATGTATGCAGCAGTTTTTCACTTTTGTAGAAATCTCCACAAAGCACCAGCTGCAGTCCCGTGTTTTATGAAGGCTGCATTTTATGCAGGATGTGAGCGTCTATCCCCAAAGCCAGGCTTTTACAAGCCTGTGATTTTACTATCTTATAAGATATAAGATTTTAAAAGATATGATGTGATTAGCAGTTCAGACATGTTGTTTACTGATAAACTGGCCTGCCTTTGGTTCGGCTCTCTAACTGTTGAAATAAAAGCAAAAACTAAAACAAAGGAACAAAGGAGAGATCTGAACATCAAGAAAGAACATAAACATATTCCCCTTTAAGTCACACTACAACTCGTGTATTTTATTAATATATACAGCGTTTCACTAACTGTAACTATAAGAAAACATGTGTTTTCTCACCTAGAAAAAGCCCTTTTTTCTGGATCCTCTCCGTTTTCAATACAGAGGTGCAGAGCAGCAGCAAAGTGCCCACAGGCCACAGCTATTTCTGCAAAGAAGTACAATGGATGCTAGTTGTTTACATTGTTTTCCTTTATTGTTCCTTTGCAGTTTCCGACAATGTAAGCACATCCTTTTGCTGCTAAAAGAGCACTCTGTTCTGAATGTTTCATAGCGCCCATGCGTCAGTTGCTTAGTTGTTGGGAATTTTTTTGGCACTGTTTTAACAACTGATTTAAAGTGAATTTCTTTTTCAAACTCGTAATGTCGGATTTGACTGGATTTGAGTATTCCAAGTAGTCTACTACTAAATAAACGGACTCACAATGGTTAGGTCCATGAGAAACTATAGAAATAAATTGTTTGTGTATATGACAAGAAAGTATTAAGGGACAAAATGCAGGCTGGAGATGTCGTAGGTGAATGTGTGGCTGATTGCATTAACTGGTGTTAAACATGTTGCTGCCGAGCATCCAAACAAGTCTCTTACTTTGCTCAGTCAGCACCACGTCGAGGAATTTCTGCAAAAAGAAAGGTCAAGTTAAAAGGAATAATGTTAGTAAGTGGGAGAAGGTAGGGAGAGGACGTCAAAGACAGAGATAAACTCACTTCCCCCGCCATCCTGGTATGTCCAGTAAGAACGAGGTTATGATCACGTTCCGTCTGAAAAAACTCATCTACGTCCTGCAGGCAGATTTTTAAAGCGTTTACACTTTCTACCACCTGTGCATGCCTTCCATCAGTACAAGTTAATGTTGCACACCTTATGTCCTTCTTTCCTCATTTCTCCCACAGCTTGACTCAGACGGTTGAAAATGTTTCTCCTGACTTTCTGTCTGCCTGGAGGCTGGACACATATAAGAGACCAAGGTATGTTCAAACAGACGTTCCAGTAAAACTGCTAACACTACCTGAACCACTCCACACAAGGCTGCACTCGGCCAGACAGGAAACAGATTCTGTTATTTTCTGTGCTAAAATATCAACGTCCAAATCTCGTCCTTCACCTGGTCATCAAACCCCCTAAAGCAAATCTTTCCCCTTTGGTTGAGTGAGCTGCTCCTTATAGCCATCCACCAGTCTCTAAAATCAATCTGGTCCTCTCCTCATTTTCAACTGTGAGATATTTCATGAGCTTCTTGCATGCGCAGGGTTACAAAGCAAAAGCTTAGCATTTTCTGAGAGTGCCACGTTGGTCACATGAGATTTTCCCCATTGAAACAACCTTGGTGACAGTTTAACCATTTAATGTGAGTTTGCCTCATATAAAGCTTCTACAGTGCACTCTATTAAAACCAGCATTGCTTGTCGGAGATCAAGTTTGACAGTCAAAAATGCAGACGGGTGTCGATGTGACTGTGGCCACTCACTTCAGTGCTTGTCAGGAAGACCTCCACAGCTTTGTTTTTGCTGAGTATGCTGTGAGCAGCAACCTGCCTGAGGAAAGTTTCCAGAGCTTTGCAGTACGGCTGCCACTCTCCTAAACCAAGAAAACCTGCAGGAAAACAACAGTTTGGAAATTCATTAAATGTATTTGCTCTTTTGTGCTTGGAGATGTTCGCGAGCACTTGCCGAGCTGTTTCATGGCCTTCGCAGATGCATTCACCTGAGGCCTCGCTGGGAGAGGGGGGAACTTAAAAACAAGAAAGAAATATCTCACTTATTCATGTTCACAGATTCTCCAATAAAAAGAAAAGCTAAGTGTAAGAGCGTTTAACACAAAAAAACCTGACATTATTTTTGCCAGAAAGCGTGAAGTCATGTGTATCGAAATAACATCAGTAGCATAACTTTTGATCATCACAAGCAGTACCCATGTTGAAAAATATGTTCTGAATTTTTTTTTGGAAGTTAACAATTTTATGAAGGTCTCCAGGTAATCCTTATAGCATACGCTGGGAAAAATAGGATATAACGAGACAGCAAATCAGACAAGTATTACTGATCATTTCAAATTTGTTTGTTTGCAATCATGACTTACAGAAAACTTTCCCAGCACGTCAACATATTATAATAAAAACTTAAGTTTTTAAAGACTAACTAACTGCGTAATTAGTATTTTACAGATGTTTGCAGGTTTGTCCTCATAACAGTTCCTTGATGCTGCGTTCAGGGACAAAAAGTAACTAGCAAATTCTGACTTTTGCAACTATAGATGCAGAATGAGTGAAAATAAAAAGCATTTACAATAACTCCTTGTATCCCGGGCACATCCTCCTGAGCGAACAGATGCTGCTGAAGCCATTCAAAGTCATCGTAGGTCCGGTCCACATGGTACTCTCCTGTCCCAGACAGCTTGAACCGACACCAGAGACCACAAGTCACTTCAGCAGTTAGTCCTTTTAACTTCACTTATCAAACCAATCAGCAGGTGCAGTTCATGCAAAAATAACAAAGAGCTGTTCAGCAGTCGTCTGAAGCCCATGCAATCTGAAATTATTTATCCGTTCCCACCTTTTGAGAAACGATTATAAAGGTAAGTGTGTCCCCGTCCTGCGAGACTTCTGTAACTTTGACGGTATGTCCATAGACGCTCAGAACAGAAGTCGCCTCGTTCACCTCTTCCTGCTTAAAAATAAAAGGATAAACTCAGGACTTGCAGTCCATCTCAGCCAAAACAAAATAAAAACCTACATTCAAGGTTTTTATTACAAAATAAATAAACTTACATTGCAGTGATTGTTGTTTGCATCAAGTAAAATGCTGTCACATAAAATGCTGTCACATGACACTCATAAGTTTCCAAAAACCAACTAATCCATTACTTACCATCATCTTCAAACCTTTAATTTATTCTTTAAGGCTCAATTTTTCCTCTGCTTTTGTATAAAGAAACTATTTTAATCTTCTTTCCTTGCACTACAAAAAGCACAAACACTAAGACGATCCTTTGTGTGCTTCTGTTTCAGTCCTCTGCTGCTGAGACGGCACAGGATATCCTCTGGGTCAAAGTGCACTCTGTCCTTGAGAGAAATGGAAAAAAAAAAAAAAGCAAAACTGTTGCAAATAAAAAAGTGCTGTTGCAGGGAAACAGATGAGTAAACGAAGTGTTAGTCTTTAACTCTGGACCGTTGGCACACCCACGCAGGAAAACTGCCCTAACGGCCCGCTCACTTATCTAGACGTCAGCTTTACAACATCTTAAGTCACTGAATTTACAATTTATCTTGCAACAGAAGCACAAAAGACGACTGCTTCCAAAAGACATGCAGCGCCGCTTCTAAAGTATTCCTGCTCGTTGATCCTTATGCATTTCATCACACTGCAACCACAAACTTCAATTAATTTTAGCATAATATTACCGGAACATGTGGTTTATTACTGTGAAGAGGATTGTAGGGTGGCTTTTTTTTCTCTTGCCATTCTACCATGAAGGCCAGATTTGTTGATCTTATCACATGTTTGTCAAGTCAACATCCTGTCTATTGAAAAGAAGAAATCTGCACCTCCTCCAGAGTTACCATGGCAGTTATCATGGCAGCTTTCCAAGTAAGGCTACTCTTCTTTCCACTTCACAACTGTGTGCCATTTTGTGCTGGTTTATCTGATAAATCTCAGCATAATGAAAACAGGATACAATTTGTTTGAAAACCTTTATTATAAATAAAAGAGTATGTTACAACTATAAATCAGTAGTAATGCTCCTCCTCATTTTCATCATCAAAGTAGAAGCTGAAGGTAGACTCTTCAGAACTGTAATGTCCGTCGTGAATGTACTCCTCTCCCTCTTCCTCTTCCTGGAAAAAGCTCCAGTGAATGTGTGGTTCGTCCATAAAGGCACCGTCATGGAAATCCTGGAAGAAGTCTGAGAAACTAAAGTGGAAGCTGGTCTCATCCTCATCCTCATCCTCATCCTCAAATGAGGCTTGGTTTTCCAAGAAGGCCTCATGACCCACGCTGTCGTACAGACGCCTTTTCTTCTTATCTGACAGCACAGCATAGGCTAGAGGAGAACAAAACACGGAAAATAAACGTGTTTTTAACTTCTATGACACATTCAAATTTTTATTTTTAAGATTACGAAACATTAGACCGAGGCATAACTAAATTTGACCACTGCTTAGCTTGCTGAGGCCAGCAGGGGGGGCTCAAGGGCAACAACTATGAAACAAAACATTTCGAGTTACATTTATTAAAAACTGAAGCTTTAGATTTGCGTCAAATGTTTAGCAATAGTATATTAAAAGGAATTCTAAATGAAAATGAATTTGGGGGATCTAAAAGAACTGAAAAAATATCTAATCATACAAGTGAAAGTATTCATAGCTTGATACTTAAGATAAAAGTCATAATTAGAGATGCACTGATCAAAATTTGGGGGAGTTTTGCGATCTTGAGTTTTTGTAAAGCTTTGAGCTGTCAATGCAGATTTTCAGACATGCCTGATTTCCAATTCACTTAATATAGTACGAGGAGAATATATTATCATTATATTCCCACCTTCTTGCCATGAATGGTCAGTAACTATTTGTATTATGAACCGAGGTGACCTCATCCTCTGTGTGTAAGAGCAGAATTGCTGTAAAGCAGGGTTTTGCTAATGTTTTAAATCAAAGACAAGATTTTTGAGTTCACAATTTAAACTAATCTTAAACTTGTATTTTGAATTTCAAACTGAAAGCTCGGTTTTTATGTTAACTACCGCATCTAGAACATCTAGACTGTTCCTTTAGCTCTGAGGTTTTCAAAAGGCTGCCAACAGTTCATGATAAACAGAGGCTGAAACCATAAAAGGACAAAAGAGAGTGACTTTGCTGTGCTACATTTAGACTTTCTGATATGAGCGCAATCTCTCTTATTCCTTAACAGTAACAACATGTGGTTGAAAGCACATTTCACCTCATGGCAGCTTTTATATTTCACTCATGTTGAAAAGGCTAAAATGTACATTACTTAACACAGCAACAACATCCATCCTGAATGGGTTTTTTTTTGGCAGTGTGACCAATAGCATGTCTGGTGCTTCAAGTGGCATTTCACCTGTTCACCACTGTAATTCCAAACATGCATCAGTTCATACCCTAGTGCTTTTCTATATTCTATTTTTAGACAACTTTAAGGAAGTGTGATTTTTTTTTTTTTTTTTTACTCCAATAGGACTAATAAGCAACAACTGGCTTAGACTTAATTTGGTTAAATCAGGAGTCATAAAAACAGGTATACATTCAATACCTGAATTTGTAGAAGATCCATGACCGTTTAATTACCATAGTTCATAAAAATACTTCACTGCAAGCAGAAATAAACTGATGTAATGGTTCCAGTATAGGTGTGAAATTGTTTTCTTACAGCATAAAGTGGATTTAGGCCTAAATGGAGTCATGTAGGTTTGAAATAGCTCTACAGGTCAAGGGGGGAATGGATCCAAAACTTGTGTTCATTGAACCAAAATAGGTCAGCAGCAATTTCTTATGACTTGTTGCTGATATAATCATATCTGCCGTTTGTTTCAGTTGGAGTCACATATCATGGACAATGTAACTGTAAGTGAATTGTTAGATAAAAAGACAAAATGTCTTTTGTTCCCAAACTGTCCTCTAGATAAGACTGGCAGAGGCAGACTGAATGAGCAAGTCAGAAATGACGTTGTTGCCACAATTCAAAAAAAATTATATGAAGTAGAAGTTGTGCCCCAAATTAAATTCTCACACACAATCGTTCTGCTCTGATACTTTTGCTGAAAAGGAGAAAACCATTACATATCATGACATCTAGATGCCAGTTTGTTGCAGCATCGTTTACCTTCTGCAATCTCCCTGAAAGTGGTTTCAGCTTGGGCGCTCTTGTTCTTATCAGGGTGGTACCTCACTGCCAGGCTGCGAAAAGACTTTTTTATCTGGGTGTCAGAGGCTGTCCGCTCAACATTCAGGGTGTCATAGAAACTTCTCACCGGCTCCGAGGCTGAGGCTTGCTGGTCTTCAGTCAGGCACAGGAGCAACAAGACCAAACAGGCTCGTATCCTGTGGAAAACACCTCGTCCTGCCATGTTGAACGCCTGATGGAGAAGCATGGAGAAGCTCGAAACAAAGTTTATCTAGGAGATTAGAGCGGGGGCTGTCCGGCTTTTTGACAGCTTAATTTCCATATGCATACAACGCTATCTAGGTTACGTATGAACAGCAGAAGCGGAGGATAACGGACGTTTTGACTCACCAGAAATGGCGTTTAAGAAGAGCTAAATCCAAGTAAAGTAGCGTCCAGCAGCTTCTAAACTCTATGAAAACATCTTGATATCAAACTAGTGCTATTTCCTTGTTAAAAGCGAGCACACCACAGCACAATTGCCTGACAGTTCACTAACCTACCGCTAGTGGCCAGTGAAAAACAACAAAAGTCTTCTTCGATGGTAGTTAAAGATGCATCAAGAGAGGAGGTAAACAGCACTCTTTGGTCAGGTTCTGAGGTATTTCTAAATACCTCTTGTTAATAGCACGCCTCTTGTTAATAGCGATATTATCGTTAAACTGGTCGCAGAGCTCTTGAACACCCTTTCTGACTGTAAACCATTCGGCTGCTATTTCCGTCTGGTAAGGAACTGTTAGCATTTAGCCAGTTAGCAAAGTTTGCTAGCGGTTAGCTCTGCAGCGAGGTCGCCCAAATCTTTTAAACCGTTTTAGTCCAGGATTTGATGGAATATATTGATGATTATTTACAGATAAAGACTACAGCAATTAAATCCACTTGCCATTTCCTGTTGTTTTACAGTATATTAACTTTTGACCATCATTAGCAAGTAACAACAGTGGTACGAACCATTTTCTGTGGTTTGTCACGTGTATTTAATCTAAAGTCTTATTTATTTGTATCGGTCTCTCGTCAGGTCATGCCTTGCAAATTAATAAACATAGCTTAAGCAACGGGCGCAATTTATATAGTTTTTAAATAAAACTGAAGCTGTTTAAATGTATGGGCTAGCATAAAGACACTTTCCCCAAGATTTCTAGAAGTTTTGAGAAATGCCTTATATCTTTTAGATTCTGGCTAATTGTTTAAGATTGGTTTTCTTAAAACCATGCTTAATTTACCTGAAGTCATAATGTGTATTACTAAATACACAGTTACATAATGTTAAATTAAGTTTACTCCAAAAATCATATGATTTGATTCTTGAGCAGATTATTAATCTGTTTTAATTCCAGGTTCAATAAAAATTTAAACAAACGTTACGTTAAATATTAACTACAATGTTTGCATTTTACAATATGCACTTTTTTTTAAAAGACAGGATACTTCTCTTTCACTATTCTAATAGTGAATATACACTATTTTTTATCATCCACCTTCACATACATTAACTTAAGCCATCCCCCTTTCTTAATCCAATTGAGGTGGTGACAACTATTCAAATTGCAATAAAAATTAATTGACATAATTGATGATATACATGATCTTTATATCACTTGAATGTTATTTTAAATCACTTTTGGATGAAATATGTTTTTACACAGCTACTTCTTTGATACTTTGCTTGGTAAACCTATTGTAACCACTTCTTTTCTGTACACTGGACAAACTGAAAATCAAACACATTCATTTAAACATCATGTTTGGGCCTGTAAAATTTTCTTTGGCATCTGTAACGTCAACATTTGTTGTGTCTGACTTCCAACTCTGTTTATTTAAATTATTTCTATAATCTTGTCTTGCAGATTAATGAGTACTGGATTGCATTACTCCAAAGGAGGAAAACAGAAGGAAGTCCATCATCTGTTGAACTGTGTTTGTGCACATTTGGCAGGTCACTTCAGTCAATCCCCTCCCACACACATGAGTCCAATTTTCTCTTGGAGCAGGGCCAAGCGCCATGCCTGACCGGGACAGTTCCTACCTGTCAGGTGGTGGTGGGAGTGGCGGTACTCTGGTTGAGGAAGGAGGACCTGGGTCTGGTTTGGTGGGGGGCTCGACGGACTGCAGAGGCGGTTCTGGGGGAGG